TGTAATACCATTAGCCTGTGTATATAGTTCAATTAACAACTTTAAAAAAAATCAAATGCTAAGACAGTATTTAGAATTCACCGGGCTGGAGAGATGGCTCAGCAGTTAAGAGCACTCCCTGTTCTTCCAAAGGTCCTGAGTTCAATTCCCAGCAACCACATGCTGGCTCACAGCCATCTGTAGTGAGATCTGGTGCCCTCTTCTGGTCTGCAGGCATACATGCAGGCAGAATACTGTATATATAATAAATAAATCTTGAAAAAAAATAGAATTCACCATCTTTGTTCCCCTTGCACATTGACAAAATAAGAAACTATCTGTGCAATTAAAATTAAAAAGAAATATGGCATTATTTAAACCAAATACCCCATTTTAAATAGCTAGAAATTATAGCACTAGGAAAGTATTTTTATTTTAAAATTTATTTATTGTATGTGTATGAGTATTTCCCTGAATAATCCATGTGTAACACATGCTGAATGATGAACACATGAGTTCCAAGAAGCAGAGGGGACAAGCAGACAGGGGACCTCAGATCCCCTGGAACCAGAGACAGCTGTGAGCCTCCATGTTGGTGTTGTGAATCAAACCCGAGTCCTCTGTAAAAACAGTCATTACTCCTAACCATTGAGTCATCTCTCTAGTACCCTCAACAAGGTACTTTAAATGGAAATGGTAATTTTTGACTTCCTACAGAAACTGTTATAACATGAGATCAATAAATCAATCAACAGTTAAGTTATGCATGCAGACAACAATACAGAAAGATTTTTGGAAGATATCTATACATCTAATTGGGCCTTAACGATTAAGGTATGAGAATGAAATTACAATAAAAAAAATGAAAATTACGTCTGTCTAGAAAATTTTAGCCTGTATGAAGAGAGGTTTAAGAACACATTGACTGTTGCTCTTGGGGCAGTGTCTGTACGAGATCTCTGCCCTTCAAAAGCAAAAAGATCATTTTTTAAAAAGAGGAATAAATGGCTTGTGAGTCAGGAATGGGTCACACTGCTGATGTGATACTTGGGAACCTGAAGCAAGAGATTGTCCCTTGCTTAGTCAGTGATGATCCTTTGGACGTGGTCTCACTGTGTACAGAGTGGCGTCTACAGGATTTTCCTGCTTCGTCCTCCTCAGAACTGGGACTACAAGCTGTGCCACTATGCCCAACACAAAGCTCTCGTTTCCCCTTTCTTCCTACAGTACACTCCTTCTAGACTTAATTTTCACTATTCTTTTTGCCATTTAGCCTGCCATCCTAGTCCCAAACTGGGGAACTATTCTATATGGAAGACATTAAAATCATTCTGATGATTTTCGTGTTTAAATCTATAACAGTTGTCCCCAGTGGTTCTTTAGATCAGTGGTTCCCAATCTGTGAGTCAAATAAACCTTTCACAGGGGTCACCTTAGACCATCAGAACAGATATTTACATTATGATTCAAAACAGTAGCAAAAATTACAGGTATGAAGTAGCAACAAGAATAATTTTGTGGTTGGGGGTCACCACAACATGATGAACTGTATTCAAGTGTAACTGCTTCAGGTAATAGGTCATCCTTATCTTTCCTCTGGATACTTCAAAACACAGTCACCTCAACCCTTTATAACACACAAACATGACCATTTCATAACTTTCACAAATTTAAAATTAACACTTAAAGTAAGACGTCCTATCCAGGCAGTGGTGGCGCACACCTTTAATCCCAGCACTTGGGAGGCAGAGGCAGGCGAATCTCTGTGAGTTCAATGCCAGCATGGTCTACAAGAGCAAGTTCCAGGACAGGCTCCAAAGCCATAGAGAAACACTGTCTTGAAAATAAAAAAAAATAATAAAATAAAAAAGAATTCCTAAAAATTAAATCTTCTCCAATAAGTCTAAAGCTTGGTATGGTGTAGTGTGTCTTTAATCCCAGCCCTTGGGAGGCAGAGGCAAAAGGATCTGAAGTTCAAGGACAGCCTCAACTACAGAGTGAGTACCAGGCCAGGCCAGCCTGGGCTGTATAAGGCAATATATGAGCATGTGTGCGCGCAGCCTATCTTAGTATGCTTTTAAGAGAATATGAAACAACACTTAATGTTTGGTAAAGCCAATCATTGCAAAATCAGCACTAGGTTTACTGGTATTAACTTGTAAAGAAATGTTTATACTCAGGACTGTTTCAAAGGAGGAAGAAGACAAATCTGTAAAACCCAGAGGAACGGGGTGTGTGCTGTGAAATTGTGTCTCCTAGAAATATCAGAAGCTACATTCAATGAAGTCTCACCAACATGGCTACTAAACATGACCTAAACAAGGACAACAGCAACAGACATGCTAATGTAGATAGGGGAAAGTTCACCTAAAAACTACAGGCAACTAAGGAACGTTGACAGCAGGAGAAAAAACACACCAAATGGTTATCCAATATCATATGGTCAGCCCTAAATACATATACATACAAGTAACATTATGCAGACTGAGCAGGCTATATCTATGTATTTAGAAATACACATACACACACATACATACACACATGCACACACAAATATAACAAGGAAAGAAACAAGGTCATAAATTGGAAAGAGAACAGTGGACGGGCATACATGGAAGGGTTTAGAGGGAGGAAAGGAAAAATATAATCTTAAAAAAGAAATGTTTACAGTCAAAACTAACAAAAGCTGGACATGACTAAGCAAGCATATAATCATAGCACTTAAAAGGCAGAAGCAATAGGATTACAAAGTCAAGGCAAGCTCAGGGTAAAGGAAGAGTCTGTCTTTAAAAACTAATTACAGTTTTTTTAAAGTGCAAATTAAGTAAAAGAGTATGGATTAATTTATTGCTTGCTTATTCATTTTTGTGTTGCTAGGGATGGATGGACCTTACACAGTTCTGCCACTAAGCTATAATCCTAGCCCTCTAGTTATCTATGCTTTAAAAAAAATTAAATTTTATTTAATGTTCGTTTTTGTCTGCTCTCAATAACAAATTATACTTGTCCTATGGCTTGAGCCATAACAGTTTCTCACTTCTTACTTTTGATGAAGTTGAGAAGCCTGCGGAGCACAAACTATGTTCTAACTCTTGACCTGGGATCAATGTGTTCTCACGCTCCCTCTGGAATCATGGGGGAGGAGTACACAGGCAGTGACTCTCGCCACTTTTCACCCACTATCCACACGACAAACACTCTTGATGCTGACCTGACACCTGGATGGAGGAGTGTGTCTCAGCTCTTTCTACATTACCTTCTTGACAAGTCACCACACAGCTCACACTTGAGGGGTACAAGCCACGCCCCTCTTTAAGAGAAGCATCCACACAGGCTAATGCACATTCTACATTGGAGCTGTGGGGATTCACTTTCGCTTCTGTTAAGATCTTTTTCTCTCTCTCTTGAGATATATTTTAGAAGTATTTTTTTAATGATTTATTTATTTTTATTTTATGGGCACTGGAGTTTTGCCTGCATGTGTTGTCTGTGTGAGATGTTGAATCCCCTGGAACTGGAAATACAGACAGTTGTGAGCTGCCATGTGGGGACTGTGAATTGAACCAGGTCCTCTGAGAAGCCACCTCTCCTGACCCCCTCTTCAGAGAGCTCAATTAGAAAGTTATCAACCCCTTCAGAAAAGTAAACAAAACATCACATGACCTTGAGAAGATAAACTATCTTTGGGCCCAGTCAGCAGGGTAAGCTCAGAGATAGTTGACAAAGGGGGTCCCTGGTCCTCATCTCTGTACACTGAGACCAGGTCAGAGCAGTCTGTCCTTTTCTTTCTATGGAATGGGTAATTTAGGAACACACTATAGAACCTGGAAGGAAGGTTGCAGGCTCTTCTTTGCAGCACTTCCAGCTAGGTTCAATGAGAGCCTGTGGGGGCCAAGCAGTTACATTGTTCCTAGCTTAGTAAGTGTCAAGCAGTATCTTTAGGAAGTCAATTAATTGCTCCTTGGATTCCCTAAGATTTGGTGACACACTCTTCTTTGTTTCTCAACTCGTTCTTTTACAACAGGTTAAGGACATGGATATTTTATAGATAAGACCTTATGACCAGTTAAGCAGGCATCTGCAAAGAGTGCCAACGAAGCATTAAGTTCCAGAACAACTAATAGTGGTGCCTAGCATAATCCCTGGCACACGGCAGTGCTCAGACATTTGCTGAATGATGAACACATGAGTTCCAAGAAGCAGAGGGGACAAGCAGCTGTCTACACTGGTATGTAGTGCTCAGATGGCACTAGGTCAATTTCTAGGGCTTGCCATGCTATTTGTAATGTCTTTCTTCAGCTAAAGAAGGAACTTTCCTCAAATAAACCCAGCAGGTAAATGATGGAAGCCTTGTATATTTAGTATCATTGAATTTTAAAACGACATTAGAACAGCATTATACTGAGTGTTCAAAAAAGTTTGCTTAGCTAATTTAAGAATCCCTGAATAAAAGGTAAAGAGGTAGTACAGAACAAGACAAGTTCATCCATCCAGACAGAAGCCTTTGGAGCCGTGTCAACTATAGACGGAAGAGTCTCTGCACATGGAAACCACAGAGATCAAAGTTGTGCTGAAAGAATGAAAAAACACATCCAGGCAGGGTACTAGGAACACTGGATCTCTGGTGGATTGCTAAGCCCTGGGAGGAGGAATTCTCTTTTCAGTGTCACAGCCCAGCACAGGAACATGTTACAGTGTTCACTGCTGCTGAACAGCAAAGTGGGATCATTTAGGACCCTGAAAATTGAATTATTTTAAAGTCTGATGTGTATCATCTCTAATGTGAATAATTAAGTTAGGAAAAGGAGGATTTTCTAAAATTTGTAAATATCTATAGCATTCCTTTAAAATATTTTAAAATAGTACCCCCTAACCCATCCCCAGCAATTTAACACTGAAGACAAAGGAATGTCAAGAACAACTCCCCTGTCTGGGTGCTGTGAAAACAGGCAGTTCTACCTGACTGAGCTCAGAGAACACATCTGGATTAAGAAAAAGATGAACTTGGTTTCTCCTGTCCATTTTTTTTTTTTAGGTTTTTGAGATTTAAATTTTATCTTCATGGATTTGCTGGGTTTGATATTTTAATATTGCTCATCTTTGGTTAAAAACAAATGTCTATTTGAAATTTACTCTGAATGTACGATTAAAATTGAGAACAAAAGTATTTCTTGTCTTTAAGACAGTACAGACACCACAAAGTTATGCCAAATTCATGACCATTTTAGTCTGTGGCTGGTTATAACTAAACACTATTTAGAAAACTGGAGTCATAGCTTATCAGGAGAGAAAGAACCAACATCAGACTTAGATATAAAATAGTTTAATTCACACTGAAAATCATCCTTGGACCTGTACGTGTATTGTTCGAAGTATACAATTACTCAAAGGTACTCCTGCCATGTTCTCACTAAGTGAGCAAAGCAGACACTGCACCAAGGTTCGAAGCACTTCAAAGGATCTTACCTCACAGTATCGAGATTCCACTTACACTCATGCTCCAGGCAAGTACTATTTCTTGTGTTTTTAAAGCACCTATAGAAATAACAGGCCCTAAATATAACTATACAAAATTCCTATAGGGTAACAGCTATGTAATACATTATTGTAAAAAACATTTTTTAACTAACAAAAAGTCAGATTATGAAACATTCTGGCAATCCTCCTAATCTGCCTGAAGACTGCCTTGCTACTAGCCAGGGTAAATGTTGTGTGCCCCTCCCTTTCTCGCTGTGGTGCTTCTAAGTATAGTGACAACCACATGAGGTTTTCCTAGTCTCAGCACAAGCTCGGGGAGAATCTGGGAAATGTAAGTGGAAACATGAGACACTGCTTTATTTGGCAGCTCTTTAAAAAAAAAAAAAAAGAAGGACAAATGACAAAGCAGTGTTTGGATCACAGGAAGAACAATCAACAGGCAGAAAACAAGATAGAAGTTTCCTCAGTCCCCAGATCGACAATCGACAGCTGAGAGACTATTTTTTGCTATGGTTGACTAAATATGGTCAGGGAAGAGAGAGGCACTAGAGAGCCGCTTGCCTGGGAGTGCATGTTTCAAATGCTTAGCTGCCTATAAAGCTCTAACAGCCTAGGCTGTGGTTATAAGCTGACCTCTGTGGTGACTATGTGAAGTCCTGACCTCGATTGCAGATTGACCTTTGGATATGACAAGACAGCTTTACTCCAGATCTACCATTAACCCTGGAAATTCAAACTCCCATTCCCCCAAAAGAATCTCAAAGCAAGAAAGATGCAGGATATTTCCTGAGACGTCAGAAGAACCCAATGTACTCTGGTGGCCACAGGAAACAGGGTGAATAGCTACTTGGGAAAGCAAGGTGTGCTGGGGGTTTTGTTTGCAGCTTTGTTTTTTGTTGTTGTTGCTGCTGCTGCTGCTGTTGTTGTTTTTAATCAATCTTTAACTTCCTCTGCAATTCCCCCTCTTGTGAACCATTTCATCTAACTTAAAAAAAAAACTAGGTACATTTTCTTGGCCATTGTAGCAACTTTCCCCCATTACTTCACTTTCTCTACCTATCTATGCAATAATTGATATATTACAATCCAAATCGTATGACCAACGTTGATTGAATTCTAGTGTGTGTGTATGTGTATGCATGCCCAAATAAATGTGTCTATGTGTGTGTTGAGGAAAGGCAGGAGAGGAAAGTAGATTATCTGATTTTTTATTTATTTAACTTGTCTTTTAAATTTATCTTAAAAAGTAAGGTTCTGTGCTCACTTATACACCTCCTTACTTCACCCAGCTCATAAAAGCAGTGCTGAATTAGCAGATAATGTGAGGGAACAACCAAGGAATCGGCGGTGACTACGGCATGACTCTCTAGTCATTACCTCTCTTCCTCCTACACATGCTGCAGGACACTAAGCTCACAGGTAACCACGCACAAAGGCTGACTTGTAAGGATGCTTATCTAATAATGACTGATATATATCTTCATTGTTAATCTATATCTGGACATAGGCTAATTTCAAAGCTCAATTTGACAATTTAGTTTTTAAAAAGCCATTGTTCAAATAGTATGAGAGATAACTTCAAAAATATACAATCCACCACTGACATGACCTTACTAAAGATTTAAGTCTTTAATGTTTTAGATGAACAATTGTTTCAATTGTTCTCACTTTTCCAGTAAATAGGTATCAATGCCTCCAGAGTATGATAGTTTTAAAAAGCTCATCAAGAATTGTTAATCAGAAACCTAGCAGGTTTACTATTCAGGCCACAGAATCGTGTATGAAGGTGCACAGCAATTCTCAGCTGCACTGCTGGCTGCTGCTCATGCCAGCGCAGCTGCACTAGCATTCTTCACAAGCCGCAGAAATTCTACTCCCTAATGGCTCCCAGGACTCCCTTTTCTATATTTTTCACAAACCTCAAATTTTCTCGAGGTCTCCTTTTGAACTAACTCAGTGATTAAAGGTCACTTACAATTTTCTTTTCTTGTGCTAAATATTCAAGGTAAAACCCAGAGTCTCACAGCCTAAAGTGCTTCTGTTTTTTGATGGAGATTTTAAAAAAGTTAAATTGTTTTAGTAATTTTTCTTTATATTAAAAGCCATTTTTAAAAAGCAATCTCACACAAGTCAAATACTGACATATCCATTTGAATTTTCATTCAATGCAAACAGAAGCACAAAATTCAGGCAAGGAACTAATAACAAAAGAACAACAAATAACTTGCCAAATGATAGTGAGTTTTTAATCTCTTACCTGGAAAATAAATTACCATTTATGAACATACACTCACACAATAAAATGACCCAACTTTCAAACCCTGCGTCAACTGTAAAATCAATTCTAGTGTACTCTGTTCTTTCCAATAAGTTTTAAGTAAAATTATCTGATTTATAAAAAAAATTTCAAAACTAATTATCATCTGTTTATAGGATCTTGAAGTAAATTATAGAGAAGAAAAGGGACCTGTGACGGGGAGAACAACTCCACTGACTTTCTGCAGCTCCTGAAAAAGAACCAAGGAGGCACCCAGTGCTTATGTACACCAAGAACAAAGAACACTAAGTGCATAATGGGATCAGGTAAATTTGTTGTAACACTCAGTCTCTGATAAGCTAATCTCTGCACATGATCTCTCACTGTTCCATATCAGTAACCAGAATGTTTCACTATCAAATGGGGGAAATGGGATGCTTCAAGTTTCCACAGCAAACAGCTCAGTAGTGCCTACTCAGAGCACATACTTCTTTATGTACCCATATGAACATACACTGCTATGGAATGTAAAGAAGTATGTATTTTGGGTAGGTAATGGCCACCAAAAGGGAGCAATTCTTTCCAGGAGGATAACCTTCATACAATGAATTAACCTACCGACAAGTAAACGGCCACCAAAGATACTAACATCCCCATTCCAAAAGTACCAGTCATTTGCAAGTGCAAATTAATTTACTTAAAGGAAAAATTCCATAGAAATTGATTTTAATTTTTGCTTTAATTCTACATTCTAGATTGTTTGATTACTCATGTGATTAAAATTTGACTACTACAGAATAGCACTGATAGCACAAAACAGTGAGACACAGATCAACCATTTTCTGTCCTCACGATTTGAACTTTAAGTACATCACATTACTCAAATTGGGACCAACAGATCTAATAAGAAAAATAAGGCAACAAAAATCACATCAAATTTGTGATTTATTCCCATTTTAATAGCTATTCTTCACCTGTGGTAAAATGTACCACCTATTAAAGCCTGAGGATTTTCTAAGGCAAATTTTTCAGTTTTACATCTTCTTTTCTGACACTATAAAAAAAAAAAAACAACGTAATTTTATACTGTACAAATGAACTCTTTGGCCCTTGCCTCTAGTTTATCAGTTCTTAACTCAATCTCCAATTTAAATGCCATTACTACGTAAAGCATGAGAGAAGGATAAAAATGGCAAAATGCTAAGTAAAAAGGATGTATTGGTAACAAACTGTCAAATATTTTAAAGTCTGTATTATCCTTGCTTACATCAAAGGGTATTATTCTGCCCATAATGAATTATGAACAACAGTATTTTAGTTATTCCACGGGTATGAAAAATTATAGTAATTCTTTAAAAAAAATATTTCAGCAACTAGGAATTTGTCACAATTCTTAGAAAATGCTGGCTATTCATTTATAAAGTAAAATTGAAAACTGATTCTGTTGCTTCTAAGTTTAGCTAACATATCTAGGAGGGTTTTCAATCACTCTGAAATGTCACATCCAGCACTTAGATCAGGTATTCCTTTTGAACAGAGTACATGTTAGACTCTGGGCATCTGCTGACACTGCTGTAACCCAAACATTTCAACTGTCTCCCTGGCAGAGATGACAGATGCTGACATTATCAAACGCTGTACTATTTTTTCCCATGGCCTCTCCTTGCCCTGATATGGCCAGTACATGAAACTGAACTATCCAAAAGAACACTTGAACAACTGGATCTGCTGAATGGCTGCCATGTAACTACTAAAAATAGAAGCAGGCAAGTGCTATCTTCAGCACTTAAGTTCAGGCAACTGCATATCTGTTTCACTATTAGGAAATATAATGGAAAGAATTAAAATTACATTAATTTCAGAAGCAGAATACAATATACAACTATTTGCATATTGTCTGAGCCTGTGTCACCCTTCTCCCAGGTTAGTTTAAGATAATAAATTAATGTGGTTCTTCACTCAGCACTCTTATTTTACAAACTTTTATCAGACTTTTATCTTATGAGTATGTTTCAGAAGTCATTCTCCTCAGACAGGAAATCTACAGAAGAGACACATTATAAAATGTACCTAAGTGCTGCTTTTAAAAGTATCATGTAAATTTTAATACTCAAAATTCACGGGTTATAGCTAACTACCACATGTCAATGTGTCACTGATCTTATAATAAGAACTAAGCAATCTATACTCGAAATAACACAGAATTTAGTTAAGAAAACAGATCTTTAAAGAGTTTAAATTACAACCCCAAAGTTAGTATGTCAACATAAGCAAAAACAAAGCATGGCACTGAAGACATGTGTGACCTATCTATAAACTAAAGGACAAAGGTATTTTCTTAAGGTCACTCATATCCCTCCACTCCTGTCAGCAACCTACTTAGTCCTCAACTATCACACTAAAATAACAGTGTAGAACTATGCAGTTAGCATGACTCTTCCTCAACTTCTAGTTTAATTACTTAAAACTGAGCTTGCAGGCTGGATGTGATGGCACACAACTTTAACCCCAGTACTCAGGAGGCAGAAGCAGGTAGATCTTTATTTGAGACCAGCCTGGTCTACATAATGCATTTCAGGACAGCCAGGGCTGCACAGAGACACTCTTTGTATAAAATTTTAAAAAAAGGAAGGAAGTAAGGAAAGAAAGAAAAGAAAAAAGGAGGAAAGAAAAGAGAAAGGAAAAATGAGCCTGCTGAGAGAGACTGGAAACATCACTTTGAAATATATTATGATGCTTGTTTTTTATAAGTGTTCCTGATTTTGAAAGAGAATATTATGTGCATTTAAGAATTAAGTAAAGATTCACATTAATGTGCTAAAGGGAGAAAACTTCTAAGGCGCAAAAGTAGCAAGCAGTAGGACATGCATGCACCTACAAGTAGGACTTTCACTTTTAGCGACTGGCATACCAGTATGGGAATTTCTAACAACTGTCATCTGTGTTTCTACAAAAGAGCATGGAACCGGTTTGGATCCTAAAGTAGCAGCAGCAATGCTTTGCTAAAGCTGGTAAAATGGAACCAAATCGCCTCTTCAATGGATTTGGTCCCCTTCAACCAGCTGTAGCTATGCATTGATCACCACAGCACAGCTAGCATTTCATGAGAATATGGATTACATGGCAAATAGTTTTGCTTATTGAATCTATTAACTGTAATTAAAATTAAATAACTAGCAACTGTTAATTTTATTTGGGAGAACTACAGTGATTAAAGATGTTTATCAAAAAGCTTTATGGAAAAAATGTGTGATAAAAAAGATTTCAAATAAAGTTATTTAATTTGTGGTCTTTGGTATTAACTTTTCATTTTAATTAATAAATTGTTAAAACCTATAAAAACACTGCACATTTAAAAATCACATTATTAAATTTTCATTCTTCCAAAAACAAGAAAATGCCTACTCTACTTCCTGATGAACTTCCTTGAAAAGTAAAAAAAAATCTGAGAAACTCATCAAAACTCACCTAAAAACATGAGAATATAATAGCATGTTTCACATGGGTATGCATATTTTAATTATTTATATAGTTCTTAAAAAGTATGTGTATTTGTATGTGTCTGTGAGGGGCATGTGCACAAGCGTGAGATGCCCATAGAGGGCAGTGGTATCAGATCCCTTAGAGTTACAGACAGATGTACCGGCCATGGATGCCTGAAACTGAACTCAGGCCCTCTGAAAGGAGTATATGCTCGGAACTGCTGAGCTCTCTCCAGTGCATGCTATGCGTGCATTAAATTACAGAACACTGTCATAAAATTGAGCACTCAGAAACCGAGTCATTATTTTCAAGAGAACTAGCCTTCAATTTTGCTACTATTTACTGTTAGCCTAATGATGGAGAATGTCGTCTCAAGTCGTCAACAGACTTTAATAATAAACATCTAATTCTTCTGACCCTGAACCTGAAGCAAAGGTTTCTAAGATTTAAAACAAAGAAAATGCTGAACATTTCTGCTTATTATTTATGAAGACTTATTCCTCACTAATAAACATGCCCCTGTTCTCCTGCCTGCCTTTCACAAAAACTTTCCTCACAAGTCTCTCAGTGGAGAGAAACTGCAGGAGACAAAAACAGAGACCAATATCCACCCAATTTTCCCAGTGACTACAATGGACCCGCAGATGACTTAATGTTCCTTAATAAACAAATCATTCAGCAACTGAAGAAGGTTGTGCAGCAAAGGGAAGTACCTAAGTAACATGTGAATGCATGTTCCTCCAATAAATCTGGTTTTTACTTTTATCAGCACAAATAATTTTATTTATCTTGATTTACAACTGAATTTTTTTTAATTCAATGAAGATAAAATAAGAGGACCAAACTCTGAGGGGAAACATCTCTATAAGCACCCAATACTTGGTTGGAAATGTGGCTATAGGGTATCTTGCACATACACAGTCCTGGGTTCAATCTACAGTACTACAAGCACTAAACAAAAACAAAACCACCAAATATCAGAAAACATGACCAGTATTTATAGGGTTAAAATTCTCAAACCTACAGATCAGTTTTGAAATTTACGTCGTGATCTGCACCTTCAAGTACAGATCTCAAAGCAGATCTTTCATAAACATAAGGCACTGAGACATATTTTAAAGGCCAAGATAATAAAAGGTTTCCTTCAGAAAATCACATCCAATAATTATCAGTTCTACCATGTTGCTGATGCACTGCTGAAAAATTACTGTTATTAACTAAAAGCAAACCTGGGGAGTAGAATGTACTCAATTGCTACAGACACACATATAAGTGATTATGCAAGTTTCGAAAACTTCCCACATTTTCAATCATAAAAAGTGGAAATAATTACAAGCAAATACTTGTCCCAATACTAGCTTATACAACTAGCTGTTAAAAAAGAAAAAAACTAATGGGAGGGGGAGTACGAACATTCTAAAAAGAAAATTCCTCAAAAAACACCCCAAGAATTATACTAACTAAAGAACTAATCCCTAGTTACAACTAAACTGAAAGAGAAGTCAGCATGCAATCAGTCATACTACATAACTGCAGCCAGTGAAGATAAAAACAGGCTAAACCATTACAATGTGGACAGAAGCCACATTAACAAGAAAGACTAGAAAGCAGTCAATGAAAGGAAAAGTGTTTGCATGTCTGTTAATATTTGAGATTTTATCTAAAAAGAGGGAAAATTTTAGCATTTGGAAATAATGTGCCATACCTGTTTTTCTAAGGTAAGAATAAAGGTCCAAAGTCTAAAGAAAAGTTAACTTTAATAAAATATGAAAAAAATCTTAAATTACCCAACATGCTATTACAACTGATACTTTTAAATAACCATTTACTGCCTTCAAATAAAATCTGTATATGGCAACCAAAAGTGATAACTGCCCAAAAATAAAGAAAAAGGAATAAAGAATTTAGCTAGCTTTTCACCAAAGCCATCTTGTAACATAATATTTATCAGAAGTATGCAGGTATGTGTGCACAGTAAACATGGAGGTCTGAGGACATGCAGAAGTCAGTTCTCCCCTTCCATAGCTGGGTCCTAGGGACTGAACTCATGTCATCAGGCAACAGCACCTTCACCACTGAGCATCTCTCCAGGCCCTTTCCTTCTTTTTCTGGATGCCATCTTATACAGATTAGCTGGCTGAAGGAGTCACTGTTAGAGATTTTCTGAAGAACCCTCAAGAATTACACAAGAATTCAAGAAATATAAGAAAAATATTCCTCTGCCTAAATATGGTTAGATTATTTAGTATACTAATCTCACATCTAAAAAAAAAAGAAGCAATTCAAAGTACTTAAGATAACTGTTTTCTAAAACCTCAAAACTTCTAGTCTATTAAACTTTATAATCAAACATTATAGCCTACATTCTCTCAAAAATATTTTTGGCTATTTAATCTTAAGTGCTTGCTCCATCTGAATACCTACTTTTATCTTATAAAAGTCATTCTATAACTAATCATATATTATCTTTTAAAATCTTGTAGTTCCTTTTCTGTTAAGACTAATTTGAGTGTGTGCTACCATACATGTGGACATATGCATTAATATGAACATCCATAGTCTCAAGGGAAATACACAGTTAGCAGGACACATATATGAGTAATACAAGCAAACGGAAAAGAATTCTGGTGGAGAGGAAGCAGTTGCAGGGGAAAGAAGAGGAAGGTGATTAAGATAACATCCTCATGAAAGAAAAACGTTTGAGAGTCTGGGAGAAGAGAACAGACAACTGCTTTAGGAAGGAAAATGGTGTAATAATGTACTAAAGGGCAAGGCAGGCAGAAAGATTTCAATTAATAGAAGATAAATTCAGAAAGAAGGATTATGGAGACTCAGCCTGGCATAGTCGTATACACTTGCCTGTAACCTAGCACTCAGGAGACTTGAGATAGAAAGATGGCAATTCAAGCTCCACTTAAGCTATAAAATGAAGCTATCTTGAAAAAAGAAAAAAAAAACGGTTTGAATGCCAAGACAAGGCTTATAATTCCCACATACTTCATCTATAAAATGAGGCTATAAATACCCTGTTCAAAGGCTATAGCTTGATGGCATAGTGTTCATCTCAAAGCTGCACGGTCCCGAGTTCAATCACCAGCAGTACAAACAAAGAAAATCAATTCATTTTAAAATTTGAGCTTTTAAAAGAATTAAGTGAGATGATGCATCTAATGTACTTAAGTTTATCATGAGATATCATCACTGCCATCATCTAGTTGGAGGACAGAGACATAGCAACTACTCTGTCTCCACAATGCAAATGTATGAAGAGTCCAAATCTTTGTAATCTGAAAAAAGTCCAATGTGTGATGGACAATACAGTCCTTTAACTCCCCCATCCCAACAGCAGTCATAATATAAACCCTTTTGACTTCTGTGACTGCCCTGAAGTGGGCACCCTAAGAAGCTGTAGCAAACACATTAAGGAATTCTAAAGAATATGAAGTTACAGGTAGATAAAACAAAGTGAATATTTTTCTTAGTCAAAATATACAGGGTTTTACTCAACTATAAAGAAACTGAGGTTAATTTAAAACTGTTCCAAAGAGTGAGTTGATGCAAACCTCATCCTCCAGCCAAGCTAAGTGCTGGCATCTGAGGGTTCTGCTAACCCTTTATGAATATTAATTAGGACTCTCCAAAGGCAGCCGCTCTCATATTTTAACCAGCAAATCCTTTTCACCTACTACTAAAACATGATTAGAGTTCCTAGAAGTTACACATCTAAATAACTCAGCATTAACATCTTAAAATGCATTGAATTAAACTCTTTAAACATTAGCCAGTATCCTGATATTTTATATCTACACTCAATAGACATCTAACCATTGCATAATACTAATATTAGAGTAACATGTACCTGATGAATAAGGGTATGTTTTCTACAAAACTTTATCATTTGAGATGTTGAAATTAGCTGAAACTGTCCTCATTACACCAGGAAAACACGACTGGAACAACAGGAAAGCATTTTTAAACAGCACCTAAAGCAGTAAAAGAGGACATTTTACCTGGGATTTCCTCTCAGTGCAGCATGATGCAGGGCATTGAACCCATTGTTGTTTGTGATGGTCACATCTGCTCCAGCTTCCAAAAGAACTGCCAGGATGTCATCCCGCTTCTTACTTATGGCATCATGGAGAGGGGTGTCACCTTCAGAATCCTTATTTTATTTTTTTAAGTTTAAAGAGATTTCCATTAGTTCCCCTCCCATTGATCACCACATCAACAGGAAGACTCTCATTGAACTTCTAGACAAAGAAGCAGGCTCTCTAACAAGCAAACAAGTGTCAGTCAGCAACCATGCTTAGAGCTCCTGTTGGTTTGCTGTTAAGATGGAGATGGTGGTGGTAGTGGTGGTTGTTTTTGAGACAAAGACTCCCACACTATAGCCCAAGCTGACCTTAAACTTGCTCTATATAGTTGAGACTGGCTTTGAACTTCTACCTCTACTTTCTGAGTGCTGGGATTACAGGCATGTGCTAATATCCACAACTTCACATTATATTAAATATACTGCAGGCAAAATTGGCAGGGCTGAAGATATGCTTCAAGTTGAGAGAACATTTGCCTACCATGCACAAAGCCCTAGGCTCTTTCTCCAGCATGACACGAAGCGGCCAGGACAATACACACCTGTAATCCTGGCACCTGGGAGGTAAAGGCACAAAGAGCAAAATTTTGTGTACAATGTGAGTTCAAAACCAGCCTGGGCTACAAAGAGACGAACAACATACAGCAGCAGTCTTAGAAAGCAGAACAATGAGTTTAAAGTCAGTGGTTTTCAGTCTTAACCACGCAAGTATCAATAATTTTTCAGTTTTCTATATATTAATATAATATGCAGAATTGGTGAGAATCAACAAACCAAAATCTTTTCAAAGAACAGCAAAATGACTATGGAGTTCAAAGCAGAAACAAATCTAATAAATACCCATAATTTCTAAATCTGCTTTTTAGAAACTTGTATCTCTGTGTATGGGGTATGGTATGTATGGCACAAGCGGAAATGCAGGTGTGTGCACCCATGCACACATCCACGGAGTCCAGAGAAGGACACCAGGCATCTCCCTCCACTCTCCTACTCAATTCTTTTAAGGCAGGGTCCCTGAATAACTTGCAAATTTACTGTTTCAGCTAGATTGGTCAGCCAGTGAGTTTTGGGAAACACTTGTCTCCATCATCCCAATGCTGGGGTTTCAGGCATATGTAGCCACGACCAGCTTTTGGTGGGGGTGCTAACTATCTGAACTCATATCCTCTTGCTCATGTAAGTGCTCTCCCTCACTGAGCCATCTCTCCAGGCCCTCAATCCGACTGTTTTGGACGTATTTAGCATTAATCAATTTACTTAGCAATAAATTCTAATTCCATATTAACTGTCTACATAAATGAACTATTTAGAGCGTATACAATCTGTAGTTTTACAAAGTCTGCACAGCCTACTCTCTACCATATACCATAGCTTTCCATCTGTTTTTATAAATTCAATCCTACTGGAACATATAGCCACACCCATGCACTTATGTATTAGCTATGATTATCTCATTCTATAATGGCAGAGATGTATGGCCTTGAAACAAAACACGTAAAAACCTGCAGTACCATTTGGACTTTTATAGAAAATGCTTTCCAATCACAGGCACCCACCCACATAAGGTATTCCTAATCCAAATTCCATCCAACCACCTACCTTCTATTTGGTGGCACTAAAAATGTGTAGCCTCTCACTTGAGGAAAACTCTTAACATGCTCGAATACCCTTCCACAGGTCCCTGGTCTGTCCTGCTTTCTGGTCCCCACAACAGCTATTCCAAAGCACAAGTCTCAATTATGCTCTGTCTTCCCCAATCCCAATTCACATTCCCTACATGTGACTTTGCCTCCCATTGCAGACAGAAAGTTGAGTGGATCTAATTCCTTCTCCTTCAACAGATCACCCCCAGTTCTCCCTCCATCCACCAGTCTGGCACATACTTATAAAACCACATCCTAGCCATAGTCTCTTCAGAAAAATTACTTCCTAAAAACAAACTGCTGAGCAGCACCTGCGACTCTCTTCAAAAGCCACTGCTCGACTACTCTTCAGCCACATCCTAAGATCTAGGAAGTCTCTATGCTGAGAATCATCTACACCATGATTCCTCCTGTTGTGTTCTAATTATTATTGAGTTTTCAATTTAAAGAAAGTAGTTTGACATATGAACTTGCCCATACCAAGTTCAACAGAGCTGGCATATATACACTGCCCATGCATGTTTCAGCATTGCCAGGGCATAAATTTCATTTTCATTTTTCAATTTCAGTTCAACATATTCAAACAATAAGTGTTTAAAGTCTATTTTGTTAAAGATGATAGATGTAAAGAAAAGCTAGGAAGGAACCTAAACACTAATATATTATGATTATATACTATTTCCTTTGCTATGAAGTTATACATTCATTCCAAATTTTAACTTTCTGTGTCTACAAAAGACAGTGTTTAATAACCATAATGAGCACATCTTGCACAAACTGTATTTCTCTGACATATGTGTCTTACGTTCATCTAGTTGCTAAATGAGCTTAGAAAAGAAAATCATTTCTTAGGAAAAATTTTTGCTTCAAAAATTAGGCCACTTTCCTTCCTACTATAAATCAAAACAATATTATTTTCCAAAACAGACCTAAACGAAGAACCTAGAACAAATTAAGCTACAATTAAAATATTTAAATAGTTATGAAGTAAGTTATTTTATATCACCCTCTATCTTGGATATTCTTCACAGTAACAAATTTACCACAGAACTTTCTACATCCTTTAACATTTCATCAATGCCTGCTCTGCATATTCCTTTCAAATCTTACCTGGAGACTGGGATGACAGCCAAAGTCCAAGAGCGTCTTCACAACCTGAAGATGACCTTTATTGACCGCGATATGCAGAGGAGTCTGCCTACGCTTATTACGAGCATTCAGGTCGGCGCTGCCTCGGTGCAGGACTTCGATAACAGCACCCTCATCTCCAAAAGCTGCATGGTGAACAGCTCGATCTCCATCCTTATCCTGAACATCAGCATGAGGGTTCAGTCAGTACAGTTAAGAAAGAAAAGCTGAAGCTTTAAAATGTCACGAACCAGAACAACTTCAGAAAAATTGTGAAAAAATATAAATAAAACCAGTGAGACCAATAAAATAGCTCTAAATTGACATGAACAATCACAAATGATAAAACCAGATCAATAACATTACAACATATTTAAACTGGGCCAATACTTTTTATTAAAACTCTAATGTTAGGAAATCGAATTTAGGGTCTCATATGCAGGTAAGGAACATGCACTACAGCCTGTGTACACCTAGCTCATAATAACCAACCTTTCAGACAAGAGCTCACCAAGTAGCCTAAGCTACACTTGAGCTTCATGCCTCAGTTTCCCAGGTCCTGGTACTTTCAGCGTGTATAACTAAACCAGACTGAAAACTTTGAAGTCACATAAAAACTACACCAGTATCAGCTGAGTGCTAACAAAAAGTATGCACAACAATGTGGTCTTAATTACCTAAGCAGAGATTTGACATTACATTAGAGTAACAATGTGGTCTTAATTACCTACACAGAAATTTCACTTATTAGTCAGAGTTACATCTAAGTGCTGAACATACCCACTTCTGTATATTTGAAAACAGAAATATATTTCTAAATAATGCATAAAAATATAAAAACTGGGGCTTGAGAGATTGCTCAGAGGTTAAGAGCACTGGCCGCTCTTCCAGAAGTCCTGAGTTCAATCCCCAGCAACTACATGGTGGCTCACAACCATCTATGATGAAATCTGGTGTCCTCTTCTGGTGTGCAGGCATATATGCAGGCAGAATGCTGTATATATAATAAATAAATAAATCTTTAAATATATATATATATATATATATATACTGAAGACTGAACCAGTAAATTCCACAGTTCCAAATTCTTAAAACTCTTCCATAAGAATTAAACTGTGCTTGTCACACTGTGTAACAGTCATATTTCTAAAGAGATGAGATGAACTTTTTTATATAAAGAAACTATTTCATAAATGGATAAATGGTTGTACTGTACCATAAATATATATTATGTATCACATATATTTACATATAACTAGTTTCATTACCTTTGCATAGAGAAGAGTACTATAAATGTTACTGTATTCATGAGAATACTACACTCCAAAATGTCAACACACTATGTAAGCCTATTCAAGTATTACTCCAAAACAATGACTCTAAATCTGCATGTTAGTACCTAGCAGTGGGCATCCAGTATCTCTTAAACTACCTTTCAATGATCACACAGGTAAATACTGTTGTAATTAAATATCTCTAGAACAACTGAATAAGTACAAAGCAGGCATTGAATTCAAGATAGATTTTTGTTGTTGGTTTTTTTTTTTTGTTTCAAAGTATTTGCCTGCTATTTTTCAAACCGCTATCAAGGGTGATATTTATATAGGAATCTGGTTCAATAGCACTTCTTGAAAAGGTAGAAAATTTCTACCTTGTGAATATTTCCAGCTGAATCAAATTAGGAGCTTCTGTTACCAGAGTGAAGGACTAGCAAGCACTGTAATCAAATGTCCCAGAAAAACAAGCATGTACATGTACATGTGCACATCCTGACACAGACAGACAGAAATGGACGGATAACTAATTTTCCTCATCTCAAATTTAAATAGGTTTCTCCTATTATAATTTTTAAAATTCTGTGTGTGGGGGAGACAGAAAGACAAAGAGACACAAAGAGACAGAAAGAGAGTATGAGTGTTAGTTTGTGGATATGTGCTCATAAATACAGGTACCCTTAAATGCCAGAAGCATTTTCAAACCCTGGATCTAGAATTACAGACATGTGAGGCACTTAACGTGGGTGCTGGAAACTGAACTCAGGTTCTGTACAAGAGGTGTATATGCTCTTAACCAGACCCATCCCTCCAATCCCACTATTATGATTTTTACCTTTACATTTAGAAAGGGAACAATCCACTAATACCAACTAAATAAAATAGGGATCATTTATGAAGATGAATTTATTATACTTATGGTTGTTAGAAAACTATTAAGTGAAGCCAGACATAGTGTTACACACCTATAATCCTAGCACTAAGGAGGCTAAGGCAGGAGGATTACAATTTCAAGGCCAGCATGGAGTATATAGTGAGCTCCAGGATAGCCTTGGGTTAAACAGTGAGTGAGACTCTGTCTAAGATAGACAAGAAAGAAAGCAGGCAGACAGGGAGGGAGGGAGGAGAGAGAATAAGAAAGAGAAAGAAAGAAAAGAGGAAACACACACACACACACACAAAAAAACCAACAAAAACACCACAAATCGGAGCATGTTATGCAGGCCCTATCAACAGTTTATGTAAAAACAAACACTTAAAGTTTTAAACGCTGGTATATGAATGACACTATAAAGAAAAAAATTTTAAAAAATTAAAGATTATAGAACACACATACATACAATAGGACACTACAATTACACTTGTTTCTTTGTTTCTCTTCTAAATTGTCTTCTTCTGAATTATTCTTCTGAATAAGCTTGCAGCATGGCTGGTCCCTATGCTATCCACATAAGGTTCTATGGAGACTCTGTGAAGGGTCCTTAAACTAACCCTAACACCACACCCTTTCTCTCCGGTCCTCTCTCCTTTCAACGTATAAACTCTGTTCCTATTGCACCTGCCCTATCTTGCCTAAGAAAACCACAGCCCATATAGTCAGCAAAAACTGCCCCACAGACCTGCATATATCTGCTTCCTCTCTGTGTCCATCAGAATCCACAGGTATTATTCTTGAAATGATTTACCAATCTATTTTCTCTCCTCCAACCAACTGGGGCCTGACTCATCACCACAGCTCACCTTGTCTCCATTTCATTCTTATACCAGACACAGAGGTTTCTGTACAGCAATGTTGCTGTCTCTCTGCGACACAGACTGATTCCTGCTGCCCTTCTACTTGATTTGTCTTCATCTCAAGGTGGCTGAAGAAGACACTGTTTTTAATCTACTCAGTACTTGTGATTGCTACAATTTGGAAATTACCTGTTAGTATAAAAGTTCTTGTGCTGGAAGCATGGTCCCCACGTTAGGAGTAAGTAGTAAGAGTATTAAGAGGTGGTGAATCTTCAAGACAGGGACCTAAAGGGCCCTGAAAAGATGAGTACAGGTCTCATAGCAGCAGGTTAGCTTCAGAGTCTCGCTCCTGCAGGCCATTTTGATTCTCTCTAAATACAATACTTCTCCATCATTGAACAAATGTCCTTGTAGTATGATTGAGCATCTTTTGGGTATATACCCATTGCTGGGTCCTGAGGTAGCCAGAACCTGGAAACAGCCTAGATGTCCCTCAACGGGGGAATGGATGGAGGTGTGGCACATTTACACATTGGAATACTAGCCAGCAGTAAAAGAAAAACAATGACATCTTGAAATTTGTATGCAAATGAATGGAACTAGAGAAAAACATCCTGAGTGAGGGAACAGAGACCCAGAAAGATGAACATGATATGTACTCATTCATAAGTAGATATTAGCTGTAAAGCAAAGAATATTGAGCCTAGACAATCTGGGTAACAAGGTGAACCCTAAGAAAAACATACATAGATCCACCTGGAAAGGGGAAATAGACGGGATCGCCTGACAAGATTGGCAGCATGGCGGTGGAAAAAGTAGGAAGGGCAGAAGGGAAAGATGAGGGGAGAAGGGGAGAAGGGGAGAGGGAAGGAGAGCTTGAGGGAACGGGACAGTCAAGAAGGAGGAAGGACAGAGATGAGAGCAAGGAAAGCAATATTTTGATTGAGGGAGCCATTATGGGGTTAGCAATGAACCTGGCACTAGAGAAATTCCCAGGAATCTACAAAGATGACTCCAGCTAAGACCCTAAGCAATAGAGGAGAGGGTGTCCAAATATCTTAAATATCACCATAGAACCTTCATCCAGCAACTGAGGGAAACAGAAGCAGAGACCTGCATCGGAGCACTGGACTGATGAAGAGTGGGAGGAATGAGAATATGAGCAAAGAGGTCAAGACCATGATGGGGTCACTCACAAAAACAGTCTACCTGAGCTAATGGGAATTCACCAACTTCAGTCAGACAGGGAAGGAAACAACATAGATCCAAACTAGTCCCTCTGAATGTGAGTTGTACGGCTGGGACCGACTGTGGGTCCACTGGCAGTGGCAGCAGGATTTATCCCTACTGCTTGTACTGGCTTTTTGGAACCTATTCTCTTTGGATGGATACCTTGCTCAGTCTAAATACAGTAGGGAGGGCCTTGGACTTCCCCAAAACAATGTGTCTTACACCTCCCTGAGGAGTGGATGGCAGTAAGGTGGGTGGGTAGGTAGAAGAAAGAGAGGGAGTGGGAACTGGGATTGATATGTAAAATGAAAAAAGATAGTTTTCTTTTTTAAAAATTATTAAAAAAAAAAAAAAACTTCTCCATCACTCTCCCTCTGGCCTACTAATGGGAAACCTCCTTCAGCCAATGGCCTTTGAGAGCTGGACCAGGTAGTGTGTGGCCTTGGGTACCAAAAAGGCTCAGGTCCATCTGCTCTCTTTCTCTCTCTGCTCACCACACCTAGATGCTGAATTCCATTCCTGTTCCCTATTGTGATCTGTGATTTCTCCTTTAATAAAGAACCCCTTACTATACCCTATTCAGAGTTAGTGTGGGATTCCTTTACTCATGTTCCCCCTTCAGTCTACAGTTGATATTCCAAGTCTTTCAGTTTTTAATGGTGATGGGTTTCTACTAACAACTTCAATTACTCTGGGAACAAATATCTAAAGCCATTTTAATGGTGGTAATTTGAGTCCTGCTTGGTATTTAACAGAAAGATCCTTTTACAGTGATCAATCAATCTTGAAACCACTTACCTATTCCTTTTCCACTTTTACAAGTTTTATTGTGCTGTTTTCATTAATGAAATAAAAAGAATTAACTGGCTTTTTTTGTTTGTTTGTCTTGTTTGGTGTTTTTGTGTGTTTGTCTGTTTTTTGGAGACAGAGTTTCTCTGTGTTGTCCTGGACGCCCCAGAACTCCTGTAGACCAAGCTGTCCTTGAACAAAAGATTCACTTGCCTATGCCTCATGAGGGCACTGGGATTAAAGGCGCCTGCCTGCACCCACAGCCACTACCACCCAGCTAATTAACATCTGTTTTAAGAAACAAAAAACCCAAAAACCCTGTATTGTTGAAATTTTTAGAGAGAATACATACAAGTGGTATACAGTATCATGCTAAAATCATACTCCAATCTTTTAAAATATTATCAGACAAGGAAATGAAAACAAGTTTACTTGCTACATTGCAATGATACCAGTGGGCTGTAACAGAAGAACGACTTGTCAGGAAACTGAATCTTTTACAATGAAATGTTCTACCCAGTATAATTTTAGAATCAAAAATATCATTTAAATTTTGCCTTTATGGGCTGGGGAGGTAGCTCCACCAGTAAGTACTTGTTGGACTCGCGAGACATACAAACATGAGTATGAGGAAAGAAGGGAGGGAACAGATGGAGGAAGGGGAAAACTGGGGTCTATGATAAAGCCTCATATTGCTCCCATTACTGAATTCTCAACTCAAGTAGTCTTCCTAAACCTTAAAAAAAATTAACCTGTTTCCTGATAATCTAAGAACGTTTGTATAGTATCTGAATATAAAGGGCATTCATTCAAACCTCCATATAAAAAGATATTAAGCATCTTTATACTTTATCAAGCATCCAGTCTTGCTATATAACCCTGGAGGGCCTCAGACTCAAAGCAATTCTCCTGCCTCAGACTTCCAAGTGTTGAAATTACAGATATGTGCCACCATACCTGACAAAATAATTAACACACAACTGGGTTCCTAAATTCATCAAGAAAAATGTCAACTTTTATACTACTGTAAATGAAAAATCAAGTTATATATTCCATTCATAATAAAACATCACAGTAAAAATAACTCATATAATTGGCATCTTCTTCAACATTAATTTGAAATTTAAGCACCTGGATTTGGAGAGATGACTCAGTAGTTAGGAGCATGTACAACCTTGCAAACAGTCAGGTTCAATCCCAGTACCTATATTTGGCAGCTCAGAACTACCCATAACTCACCTCAAAAGGATCTGATACCACCTTCTGACCTCCAAAGATACCTGTACTCACATGTACAAGCATGCATGTATGTGTACACACACACCCCTGTACAAGAAAATGTACACTGACAGACATATAAGCACAAACATATATGCACATCAACACACAAACATATGCATTCTTTGTCCTCCCACCAGGAAAAAAAAAAGATTAAAAATTTAAAATTCATTCAAACTCTTTCCATGGGCAACAGAAAATTCCAACATGAAAAATGAACTATTTAGTGGTAAAATACCATAAGCTCTTTAGGTGTCCAATAAGATAATCAGAGAAAAAGAATAAATTAAATAAGATCTGGAGACTTCCTTTTTAAAGGATATATCAATAAAAGAGGGAAAGAGAGAGACTCTAGCAACTGAAGTATTTAAAGAAAGAGCTTGAAGAAAGAGCTTGGAGGGCAAAACTACTACTACATATCCTACCTGGTCTAAACTAGAATAAATACAATCCTGACATCCATGGGGAGAGGGCGGCTGTTTAGTTGGTTGGTTGGGTTGTTGCTATTGCTTTGTTTGTAATGTTACAGTTAACAAAACAAGCTAACATTCTACTTTATATACAGAACTGATGTCCCAGTTGAAACTCCAATGACACTATTTGTTGTCCTTTTATAATATACATAAAGTTAAGCATATGCACTTGCAGGGATAAAAATGTACTGTTAACACTTCAAAATAAAATAATGAAGAGGCTAATAAGCAAACGACAATTGTAAGGAAAAATGATCTCTGAGTTCTAGATAAGAAAGACCTTGATCCCAAGGGTATACATGCCCCTAATACAATTCTAATGGGAATTGTGGGCAAGCCCAGCAGTGCTCCAAACAACATTTCTACTCTAGTAGAAGGAAATAATGTCCTAGTAGAAGGAATAATAATATTGAGGAAACGTTAAAAAGATAGAGTGAGGAATGGAGAGGAAAAAAGAGAGAGAGAAAAAGAAAAGAAAGCCTTTATCATTTCTCAATTTTTCATTTGACTCTGGACAACACTAGGCGAAAATTGAATTTCAAGAATGAAATTCCATCTCATATAGAATTATTTCTAGAAAATTTACTTAAGCTGTTTTCAAGCTAAGTTTACATACCTCTGCTTCTACATCTACATTTTGTTTCAAAAGTAACTTCAAAATATCAACATGTCCATTTTGACTAGCAGCCTGCATAGCTGTGTGGCCAGCACACTGCCCATTCACCTAAAAAGGAAAGGGAAATAAATAGTCAACAAACATTACAAAATTCAGAAATAGCCGATATATACGAATTTTTCCACCAGGTTTAGTATATGGTTCTTTGAGAATAATCTGACATTAAAATGTCACTACATAGATCATCAACATTATTTAAAAAAAGAGTGTATCTGTACGCACATGCATGTAGAGGCCAGTAGCCCAGATCATGATGTCTTCCTCATTGCTCACCACCTTATTTCATACTAACTGGCTCACCTAGACCACGTGGCCAGCAAGCCCCAGGGATCTTCCTTCCTCTGCCTCTACAGTACTGTGATTACAAGTATGCCACCATGTCAGTTTGATGCTTGCTTATATGTAGGTGCTGGGGATCAAACAGATCCACGGACTTGAACAACATGTACTTTACTGACTCAGCCATCTGCCCAGTCACCTTTTACTTTTTTATTTTGAAAAGTGTTTACTTAACCTGAATAAATTAACTCCAAATAAAAGTTACGCTACAATAGCCTGAACAGAAATGATTAGCATAAACACAACATAGGACTTGTCAGAAAGCACGCAACAGTCTAGAAAACTTAAAGATCAATTACATCCTTGTAAAGAAAACAATGGTAATTACTAATATATCACAAAATAAATGTATAGTGTAAGTTTACTGACATACATCTTCTGTATGAACTCAAATGACTATGCTTAAAGGAACTTTTGACAGAAATAAAACAGAAACTTTGCTTTAAATTTTTGGTATAAATGACATTGTTAAAAGTAACTTTAAGATCAAGTAAATTTATTAAATTCTCTAATAAAAAGACAGACAGGCTGGAGAGATGACTCAGAGATTAAGAACATTGACTGCTCTTCCAGAGATCCTGAGTTCAATTTCCAGCAACAACATGGTGGTGCACAACCATCTGTAATCGATCTGGTGCCCTTTTCTGGCCTTCAGGCAGAACACTAAATACATACTAAGATCTCCTGAGTAAACTGGGAGCATGGGGACCTTGGGGGAGGGTTGAAAGGGGAGGGGAGAGGAAGGGAGGAGAGCAGAGAAAAATGTAGAGCTCAATAAAAATCAATATAAAAAAAGAAAAATAAATAAAACAGAAAACTTATAATGAAATCAAGAAAACAAAGAGCTATTCTTTGACAAAATAAAAAATAGACAAATCTGTAACTTGACTAAAAGGGAAATATGCAAATAAAACTGGAGATGAAAAAAATTATAACCAATGGCATGGAGAAATCCAAGGATCACTGAGATCCTTATACAACCGTATGTCTATAATGAACAAATTCATGGATATATACATCCCTATCAACACCGAATTTTCAGAAAATAGAAAACGTGAATAGAAAGTAACATGTAAGAAGGAATCAGTAGCAACCGCCCAAAGACTTTTTTGTTCAACTGTACCTCTCAAGTAAGAAATACTGCCAGTTCTCTTCAATTATTATTTCAAACTCTATCAAGCATTATCTTGGTATGAAAACTAGAACAAGGACACACACAAAACAAAACCAGAGGCAAATATCCTGGATAAGCATTGATGCAAAACCCTTTAAAAGATTATTCATCACAATTGTGTAATTCATGCAAAAAATGCAAAAGTATTTCAACATCTGCAATCAATAAAGATGATTAACCACTCAACAAATGAAGGACAAGGAAATAACATGAACATCTCAATGAATGCAAAAAAAGTACTTGATGAATCTAACATCTCTTCATGATGCAAGCTGAACTAACTGAATATAGCTGGAATATACTTCAATATAATAAAGGTAACATATAGTAAACAGCAGCTAACAGGCTGCTCTTAGATTTGGAAAAAGGCAAGGATGGCCACTTTGATCATGTATTTATTCAACCTGGCACTGACAGTCACAGAGCAATCAAACAAGAGAAAAAACAAAGGGCATCTAAGTACCACGATTAAAATAAACCCAGAGACAGAAATTGGTGTTCAAACTGAATATCAGAAAACCAAAACAGCCAGTCACTGGTGAAATGACGATCCTGCCTCCAGGAATCTCAGAATGAGACTGAGACTGAGAGCTGTCTCCTCCCATCTTATATTCCTCTCCAGTGCTGGGATTAAAGGCGTGCACCACTACAGCCTGGTTTCTAGAGCAAACTAGTGTGGCTACTGGGATTAAAGGTGTGTATCACTTCTGCCTGGCCTATAAGGCTGATTAGTGCTGCTGTTTTACTCTCTGATCTTCAGGCAAGCTTTATTTTTTAAAATACAAATGAAATATCACTACACATCTAAACTGGAAGCATAGATCAAACTTTCATTGCAGGTGACATGATTTCTATACAGAAAACCAGAAAGCCAGCCATTCCTGTTATCCCAGAATCTTAGAGACGAGGTAGAAGATCATCCAAGGCTACAACACAAGATCCTTTCTAAAAAACCAAGAGAGGGTGGAGGAAAGGAAGTAAAGTACAAAGAGAAAAAAGGGGAAAACAGAAGGATTGCAGGCTATCCCTGAAGAACCCCTCAAAACATTACTTGAGTTAATAAATGTCATTAACAAATGGCATATCTCAATAACAAGTCATCTGAAATAGGAAACTTTCATCCCAGTTACAACTGGAACTCAAAAAGTAACTAAGAGTAAATATGACCAAAGAGGTCAAAGATTTCTAAACTACTGAGGAAAGAAACTGAAGAGAACACATACAACTTCATGTATTACAAGAATAGTAAAAACATCCAAAGTGTTCACAGTGAGCTACAATGTTTCCCAGTGACAATTCCTATCAGAAGCAAAAAACTAAAAAATTCTAAAAGCTATATGGAAACACACACACACACGTCATCTTGAACAGAAAGAACAAGGCAGAGAATATTATAGCACTTTGACTTCAAGATATATTCAAAACTATAATAATTGAAACAAAAAACTGATATAAAGAACAAACAACCCCCGTATCAATTTTTTTGACAGTGGAAGCTGAGAATAAGATACATACTGGAGAAAAGAGTATGTATGTTCAGTAACCAGTACTAAAAATACTGTTCATCCACATTAAGACTAACAACAGGTTCATACTTCTTATCAACTGCAAGAGTCAATTCTTAATGGCTTGAAAACTTCAGCCTTTATTAAATTATTAAACTACGATTTTTGCTATCCCTCAAAAGTTGTTTTGAAATGCTCACATCCACATCTGGTCTTTTCAGCAAATCTTCCACTTTAGCCACATCCCCATTGGCAGCAGCCTTAACCAGTTCTTCATTGAGGTCACCAGATTCTTGAGTTTCAAATAATTTCTTCAGAAGCTGTGAGAGTCTTTCTGCAAAGCACAAAACAAACATCTAGTAGAGGAACCAGATTCCTAAACGCTTTTCCTGTTTTACTATTTTACTGCGTGCAGACTACCCATGAAGTAATAAGCCTTAATACCAATACATTAAATTTAACCAAATAAATATTCTAAAATCATGTATTTCAAGTTGTATATGCAGAAAAAGTGAAGAGTGACAGACTAAAACAATTTGATATTTAAAGTCATACTAATGATACTATAAACAAAACACACTAGCATGGGGATCCTACAATGATGCAGTTCAGATCATAAAACACTACAGACCTTACAAAACTCAGGAGTGCAACAGTTATGATTTAGAAACAATGTAACCTCTATAGTGTCTTGGAATATACATTAGGAGCAAATCAATTTTCAGCTGAAAATGAACATATAAATGATAACAGTGTGCTCTGTCAAGTGCCACTTGACTGTTTGCCCTAAACAGTAGAATTAACACAGGAGATACCAAGTTCTTCCGCTAATTTTTGGAGTCATTACTCAAAAGCAGAAAAATCAAAAATTGGGGTAAGAGAAAAATCAAAAGATATGCCAAGTCCAATTATTTGAGAGTAGGTAATAATTAACTACTCTTCACTTTTTATTTTATATGTAACCAAGTTAGCTGCATCTAGCCTCAAAACAGAAATCAACAATGCTTAATTTAAGCTATCTGCACACTAGCAAATCGCAACAAGAACTCAAAAGAGAGAAAGAAGAAAGCAGCACAAAAATAAAATCTTAAATCATTCTTTCTATCTTTTTAGACACAGGGTCTCAACCTGCCCAGGCTAACCTCAAACTCAGATCCTCTTGCCTCCCCCATCAAATATGACTATAGGATAGCACAACCATATCTACTATCCCACTGTTTCCTTTTATACATTCCACTTACTATTATGGCTCTGTCTCCCTTACTAGACGGCAAGAGTGGACATACAGTAACTTAGAAAATGTTGCATTTTCTAAATGTTTTGTGTGACAAGCACACAAAGTTGGGCATATGAAGGAATGTTAGGAATGAGTTTAGCCAAGACCTCAGCAAGTTTACATTTTACCAGTTCCTGAAGTTATGGCAGGTATAATAATTTATTAAATGCTAAGAAGAAAAATATAATTGATATATAAAAACACACAGGAGGAAAAACATCTGCTAGCAATAATGTTGAAAATAAAAATAAGCTAAGAAACAAAAGATTTTAAGAAAGAGAAGGAGTTTTGGCAGAAAATGCAAGTTCTGACTAGAGATAAGAGCTAAGCTTCAAGTGTCTCAGGTCTGCTACAGAGAAGCCTGACATGCCCCAGAAAAATCACAAATTCATCAGCTTTTCCAGAGAGTATTTCAGCCAGAATGACGGTTAATCAGTGCACTAAAAAGAGAGAAAGGGGAGAGAAGGGTGGAAAGGAAAAGAAAGAGGAAGAGGGTAAAGGAAGAAAAGTTTACAAAGTACGCCACATCCAAGTGAACCTATACTATGGAAAAAAGCCAGATAGACATACAAGACTATCAGTGCATGAGAACGATTTTTGCTGTTGTTTGTTTCTCAAGTCAGAGTTTCCCTGTGTAGCACTTGCTGTCCTGGAACTAGCTCTGTAGACCAGGTGGCTTCAAACTCAGAGATCTACCTGAATGCTAGGATTAAGGATGTGTGCCACCAGACCTGGTCTGAGAACTGGGTATTATCTTTAAGGAAGCAAGATAAAACATACCACCAGATGCATTGCTAATGGCAGATCCTGCAGAAGCCACCTTGGAAACTGCTGCAGGATTGTATGTCCAAGAAGTTCCACAAACTTCCACCTTTAAATCACTGTCTGAATAAATCTGTTGTACTCGGCCAACTTTACCTAAAGTCTTTGAAAAAAAAAATTAAAAAAAGATTTATTATTAAATTCTATCACCATCATTTGTATTTTAAAGTGTTGATTTTACATGTTCCTAACTTTAAAAATTTTACGTTGATAACCATATTCAAATAATTATTAGTCACAAAAACAGTTGTATCTTTTAAAAACATCTGAATAATGAGTTGGAAAGCTTAGCTATTAAGAGCACCTGCTCTTGCAGGTTTCTGTTTCCAGCACCCACATGGTAGCTCACAACCAAATCTAAATCTAGTTTCAAGAGATTGAATACCCTCCTCTAGCCTCTGTAGGCACCAGCATATATGTGTGGCACATACATGCATGCAGGCAAAACAAGCATACACATAAAATATTAATTACCCTAAGATAAAATTTTAAAGTAACAACTTCAAAAGGAGTGAAGAAATAATATGCGCATTAAATAAAATAAGAAGGTCAGCCAGACACAGATATCAGTAGCAACCTGACTTCTCACCACATGTTAAACCCTGTACTAAGACCTATACATGCACAGGTACACAATCCAGAAACAAGCACTTCCATTGGCTCCACTTGAAACTCAGATACAAAAGCCATTCTTTTAACATTACAGAATCACAACAGCTGAGAATTAGTGAGACTAAAATAGTCAACTGCTTCCTAACAGAAATAGTCAACCTTGTATACTGTCGTCTTGTTTGACTTTTCCACCTTCTTGAAACTAGTTCCACCATTTCTAGATGAGTCTTGTCTTTTTGCCCATTTTTCTCTTTCACATATATAGATATGCACATATACTATACATATTTAATAAATACTTCATAAAAATGTTTTAGTTTCTTTTTCTTCCCCCCTTTGATCTTTATTAGGGGAAGCAGTGAACAAAACTAAATAATAGCATACTAAATTTTCATGTAGTCTCCAACAGCTAAAAATAATTATCAGCTCATGGCCAATCATTCCTCTCTACACATTCTCCATTCCCAGACTGCATCAGCATATACATACAAAACATTCATTACTAAGAGATAAAAGATTTTCTACTATTATCTACCCATCCAACACTATCAATAATTCTGTATCATAAAACATAAAATATCAACATTTAAATTTTTGTCATATAAATAACTTTAGTTTGTTTAAAATGAAGACCCAAAGTTCATGAGCTAGAGAGAAGGCTTAGCAGTTAAGAACACATGCTGTTCTTGTAGAGTAACTAGGTTTGGTTACAAGCACACACACACACACACACAGCTCAACCATAAGAGCACATGCTCTTGCTCTAGTTCCAGGAGATCTGACACCTTCTTCTGTACGCTAGGGGCACTCACAGTCACACACACACACACACACACACACACACACACACACACACACACAC